TCTTTTTCTATGTCTGCTTCTGTCTCCTTGAACCCCAGTGGGCCTCAGCAGATGGCCGCTCACACTGAGCCTGGTTCTGCTGGAGGTTTCTTCCTGTTCAAAGGGAGTTTTTCCTCTCCACTGTCACTACAAGCATGCTTAGTGTGAGGGATTGCTGAAGAGTCAATGAGTCGATGCAATCAGCTGGTTTTCCTTAGATAGAAAACTTTGAATCAATCTGACTGGATGATCTGGTGAACTGGAAAGTGACCTGAGATGACATGATGTGAATTGGAGCTATAGAAATAAACTGAATAGAATTGAATTTCTATTCACATGATAGATATTTAGTTCAAAATGTCTGATATGTTGGGCAGAGCCCTAACTGCTCGTCGTGGTCATTTTACAGCTAAATCATCCGTCTGACAGCAGGTTGGAGAAAGATCTGCGTTTAGAAACATCTTTAATTGTGACGATTCAGTGGATTATTTAATATCTAATAATCCAGCAGTAATTAAAAAAAGAGCGAATCCAGTCAGAAGCTTCCTGTTCCTATGAGTTGGCCTCCCTGAAGGGAACGGCTTCCTTAAAGAAAGCTGAAGGGCAGTGTGCTGGTCGGTGTAATGATGCTGCGGGACGAGCTGCGCGGCTTTGTGGTCATCAGTATCAATGTCCTCCTTGTCCTCTCAGCAGCATAACAGGGACGGCTCACAGACCTTTATGGCCCCCAAGGGCCTCTCTGGAGGCAACAGAGCCGCCGCCAGACAATGAGATAAGAGGACAGACTGGAAAACTTTAGAAAAGGGAGAAAGAAACCTGATGAAAAGCAGAAAAATAAGATTCCAGAGCAGGCTTTTAACCCTGAGGAATGAAATCTACTCACCTCCCTCTGAAAGACTAACTGTAAGGCTTTAAAGGCTGCTAACATAAAGATGAGGGGACATCACACACCTCTACGGTGCTTTTAGGTGGATAAATGGAAAAACAATCCAGTAAAGAAGAAAAGCAGATGATGTCACCTTTCAGGACGCCACCTGAACCTGCCAGCTTCACAGCGGTGAGGAGGAACGAGCAGAGATGGCAGGAGCGTGCGAGGTCTCAGCGGAGCGAGCAAACAAAGGCCCAGAATGATGCGTCATTAGAAATGCAGCGTCTCTTCACGCATGGCCGGCTCCACCTCGCTCCTAACTAGCTTTGGCTTTCTCAATCCTCCCCCTGGTGCTGTGCGCCTTCCACTCATTTCCTGTTTTTTCCCGTCTGTTAAACTGAACCTTTTTTTTTTCAGACTGGAGCGGGCTCTTTTTAATTTATTCAATTACTGTGTGACTAAATAAATAAAACAACAAGGTGAAATGGCAGAGAGGAAGTAAATGAACCCGATGAGGATATAATGGTGGTCTAAAGGGGAGCGCTGACCGCGTTACTTTACACCCGCTCCAAACCTGGGCTGCTTGTCAGTCATGTGCTTTCTGCTGATGGCGGCGTATGGATTTTAATGGCTGCGGTGAAACGTCAATAACTAGTCCCACCATATCATCAGGGGAGTTTAAATATTTCACTGCTTTGGGTTTAGAAAGGCCTTCCAGTGATCCATGTTGCTTCCTTTCAGATCAGATTATTTCAGAACTTGTTAAGACCATGCTCGTTTAAGTTCCGGTAAACTTTGTCATCTCTGAGGTTACTTTTTCACAGCGAGGAAGCAGTGACCGGAGCGCTGACATCTAAGGTGAAGGACTGGAGTGAAAGGGGGTCCTAAATCAGCGACACGTCCTTCTGCCCTGACAGGCCGGGTTAGTGAAAGCTTCGCCGTGCTCTGACAGCACGCTGAGAGGAGGGGAGGAGCAGTGGGAGGCGGGTGGGTCTCCAACGGAAAGGTCAGGTTTATCTGCTAAGGATGGGGCACACACTGCAGCATCGCTTTGGGATTTATTTCACGGATCACCTAAAAAGAGGCTCCTGTTGGGTGTGTGTCCGTCTGTAGGACGCTCTACCCAGAGTTATAATGACCCAGCTTACAACCACAGAAACCAGGAGCCCCCAACTCTCCACTACTGCTGGCATCATGAACTCAATCATTCCAGAACATTCCTGTGCTGCTCTAGATTTTCCTTTTCCAGCTGGACATCAGATAAATTCTCCTTCCATCAGCAGAACTGAGCCAGGCTGACCTAAACAAGTGGTCCAAAGTTTGCTTCCCTTCACCTACAAAGATTCAGATTTCCACAACATTCAGAAATAAAGTCTCAGTCCAAACATGAACTGGTTCTCTCATCCGTTTCATCTAAACCAAAGCAGGTCTTTCCTAATAAACATGTTGGCTGTGTCCTTTGAGGGAACCTGAGTGCTGTGAACACCTCCGTCACTACAGCCCTCACAGCGTGGCCATCAGATCTGTGGCACTAATGGAGAACAACACTTTTCTTTTTTAACTACGTTTACAGAGAGGTCCAAATATACACTTTTTACTGTAGAAGGAAATAGATCTTAGAAGCTGCAGGTTCATTTCTTCATGTTTTAATGACTGGTCTCAATAGAAAGCAGAGCAACCAGAGGGACAGAAAAACAAAGATAAACCTTTAGATTTATTATTCTTTAAATGAACATGAGGGCTCCTAATCTACAGTAGGATCAAGAATCAAACAGAAAAATAACAGTTCTTCTAGAAAATATAGCATAGAGACGACACTCAATCTTTTTTATTTGTGTTCAAAGTATTCTAGAGTCGGAGGCTGTTTATAGAAAAAAAAAGGTTGAATTAGGAGAAGAAATTTGAACCTGAGATAAAATTATTTGATGAAAAAGCTTTAGAATCTGTCTGGATTAGCTAACTGTACTGATTGTGAAAATGGCAGAGCCTGTAGAGTCAGAGCTGCCTCTGATATCTGGCCTGTAACAGTCTGAGTGCTGCCCTCTATGGGCTGAAACGCCGCTACTGCACTTTACTTTCCTGCTGGTGAGAACGGTACCCGTCTGCATCACAGCGCTGTGCTTGGTTAGAAGAACTGGCAGCCAGAGTGGCGCCCCAGTTTCTCTCATATACGACTCCAGTTATAACTCTGAACACACCGGTTGGCCCGACTTTTAATCTCTGATCCGACTTCTTTCTATGTCAGACTGACTGCGTATAAAGAGGCTCAGACTAGGCAGGGTGAGCAGATTCTGTTCACTCCTGTCTCTGTGATTCACACACACTAAACAATTTCCAACATTTGACTGGAACACATTATAAAAAAATTATACAGAATCAAATGAAAAAAAAACAGTGGTTCATTCTATATAGAAAACTCTACATAATGAGTCTGTTTAGCATCTAGAACCAGAACAGATAGAGAATGTTCATCTATTAAAAACATAATGAGATCTACGTCTAAAGAAAAGAAAATGGCAGCAATAAACTCTGTGGGACGGTTTCCATGGCGACTGAGGCAGAGAGGTGATTCTCAGAGAGATCTGGGAAGTTTTTCTTTCTTTTTCCATAAAGAGGTGAGAGAGATACGCTGCGCTGACCTGCTCTGTCTGCTCCTCCTTATTCTGGTTTCTGTGAGGCTCAAAGAGGATCACTACTTTATCCGTTTCTGTCCTCCTGAACTCCCATCATGGGGAAAGTTTCTATTTTAATGTTTCATTCATTGTTTTTGCTCCAGTTTGTCCTGCTGACTATAAACGCGATGTGTGACTCCAAACTGACTCTTTTTCTGTGAGATTAGGGCCCCGTCCACACAAAGTCAAAACGAACACGAAACGCTAATATTTTCCAAAACGTTTGTCGTAAAGACGGAGACGTAAAATAAATGTGATCGTCCACACGAATGCATGAAAACGCTGCAAAATGTATGCCAGGCCTGTAAGTGGCGCTGTGGTGCCAAAGCAAAAATAGGCGAAAACAGGCAACGAAATGTTGGGCATGCGCACTAATATTTATACATGGTTGCCCTGCGGGTCCATTTTGGTGGTTCAGTCAAATTCAGGTGCTGAACTATGTGGTCGATATTGCTCTGTTCTTCCTGGAGATATTCCAGAAGAAGAAGATTCTGTTGTAAGCCCGACAGCAGGGTGAGTAGCATGAGCAGCAACCATTCAACACAGTACGGCGCCATTGTTGTTGTGATACTGTGTCGCGCATGCGTGTTTAGAGGCGACGCTATGACGCATGCGTGTAAGAAAAAAAATGCGGTTAGAGCTTAAAGATGGAAACGCGGAAACGGCGTTTCAAAATCTTCCCACTCTGAAGGCTGAATAAAAAAAAGATCATTTACAGACCCCCGAAACGCCGGCTTCGTATGGATGAGAGGCTGGATTGGTGAAAAATTTGCGCGTTTAGGCCAGGGTTTGACTTCGTGTGGACGGGGCCTATAAGATTTTATTTTGGATTTTCCTCCAAAGCGGATGAGTTTTACTTTGTAACCGCGTCTCTCTTCCCGTCAGACTCATGAAATTGCTGCTGAATTGCTGCGTAGTCCGAATAAAATAGACCTGGGCTCTATCAGTTGGAGCTACGCTGCCCCCTGCAGGAAATCATCCCTACTGACTTTCAATGAACGCTAAACCCCGCGACCTCATCCGTTATGATTTTCTGTTGGATCAGAAACACTGTTCTGTGCGGTATCCAACTAACTGACGTGGGGCACCATAAAACCATTTCACTGGGACGCGCCTCCATTGCCAGTCAGGATTTGAACCTGAAAACATTGCAGGTTTTCATCAACAATATTTTAGTTTTATTTTAGCTCGCTGTCATCGTCCCTCATCCTTTAGCCCCTCTACTCATCCCACTCATGGCCTCGTCTCTGCCCACTTTGGTGACAGTTCTGCTTTAACATCCAGTATAGTAATGCATCAAAGTTAATAAAACTATCCAGTTTTTAACAGCAGTGACATAGTCGGCCCAAAGATGCAGCTTTTGAAGGATGCAGCCACTGAATTTGGACAAAGACATTGAACCTTTGAAAGCTTCTGTTTAATGCTCTCCTCTGGCTGCGTGTGTTTAGGAACTAGCAGCGGGTTTCTGTGCCTCTACTCACCTGGAGGTCTTTGATGTTTGGAAAGGGAATGCCAATGGTGACCACTGCCCTGGCGTTGTCGTCTGTAAAGTCCAGGCCTTCGCTGACCTTACCTCTGCATACGGCGATCAGCAGTGCACCATCTAGAACAGAAACACGTTAATAACTGAGGCCTGGAAAATGACAAACATTCCTTGGGAGGAGAAAACTCTGAATGAGTCGATGCAATCAGCTGGTTTTCCTTAGATAGAAAACTTTGAATCAATCTGACTGGATGATCTGGTGAACTGGAAAGTGACCTGAGATGACATGATGTGAATTGGAGCTATAGAAATAAACTGAATAGAAAATTGAATGAACCCTTACCCCTTTCTTCACAGTACTTGATGGCATCATAGTAGGTTTGCAGCAACTCGTCGAAATCCCCCTTGGCCCCCCCGCGGGGTTCTGTGATCACAGTTTTCTGCTCCTCCAGCTTCTCCCACAGACCAGTGTTGACCCATCGGTCTCTCAACTTGTCCAGCATCTGTTCCAAACCACAGAATAAACAGCATTACTTCTGACATAGCTATGAGTTAGCCATAGCTAAATGCTAACACAGAAGGACCTGGTCCCATGTGCTTCTCTGGTCAGAGCAGGGACCACTGCAAAAATATTCTAAAAATGAGTAAAAATGTCTTAAATTAAATTTACCCCTAAAGGGATCATAGATGCCAAACCTTGTTTCCATTGTCATAGATGAATAACGATAGTTCAGTGGGTGAAATGGACGTACAGAGAAGTTCAAACCCCATCAACTCCTCCCTTCTCTGCAAATCCCACTATTCTAAACTTCCACCATAAAACGGGCGAATCCAAACGAAGCCCCAAGTTGACGTAAACTCGGGGATGTTGCCTTATTTTACTTATATCACTTTGTCATGCTTCGAAATCGACATACAGTAAATGCAGCGTTCCAGGCTGCATGGAGAAAGGGAAAAATGTTCAGTCTTCCCAAGGATCCAAAGACTCGACAGGCATGGATTGTTTTTGTCAATCAGAAGATTCCTGCAAAGTTTGATGCTCAGCTGTTCATTTGCTCTGAGCTTTTTTTTTAAAAACAGCTTTCAAAACCTTGGACAGTTCAAAGCAGGATTTGCTAAACTTCTTTTACTGAAACGAGGGACTGTTCCCACCGTAAGGCCATCACAACCACAAACTAGAAGGATGATTGTGTGGCTAAGCTGCTAACTGGACTGGACCGGGCATTCAAACCGAGCCATCAGCTCCGGGGCTGTTCACCCACCCGGTGACAGCATGCTCCCCCCGCCTGTCTTACCGTGCTTGGCAGGCAGGGGGAAGCACGGTTCAGTCGCTCCATCCCCCGCTGGCTTCCCCCGGAAATGTCCAGGAAAAAGAGGACATCTGGTCACCCTACCATATCAACAATTTGATGTTTCCGTGAGTGAGTGCTTGTTGCTATGATGCGTATATATTCATGATCAAACCATAAAAGGAAGTAAACCTGTGGTTTCATTCTAGGGCTTTTAACCAGGCTGCATTAGGGCTCATAGAACAGCTAATATGCCATTTTCAGCCCAACCAATGTTACACACGCTATTAGAGACCTGAAGGACCAGATACCCTATAGAATCATTCTATCACCCTATTAGAGACCTGAAGGACCAGATACCCTATAGAATCATTCTATCACCCTATTAGAGACCTTAAGGACCAGATACCCTATAGAATCATTCTATCACCCTATTAGAGACCTGAAGGACCAGATACCCTATAGAATCATTCTATCACCCTATTAGAGACCTGAAGGACCAGATACCCTATAGAATCATTCTATCACCCTATTAGAGACCTGAAGGACCAGATACCCTATAGAATCATTCTATCACCCTATTAGAGACCTGAAGGACCAGATACCCTATAGAATCATTCTATCACCCTATTAGAGACCTGAAGGACCAGATACCCTATAGAATCATTCTATCACCCTATTAAAGACCTGAAGGACCAGATACCCTATAGAATCATTCTATCACCCTATTAGAGACCTGAAGGACCAGATACCCTATAGAATCATTCTATCACCCTATTAGAGACCTGAAGGACCAGATACCCTATAGAATCATTCTATCACCCTATTAGAGACCTGAAGGACCAGATACCCTATAGAATCATTCTATCACCCTATTAGAGACCTGAAGGACCAGATACCCTATAGAATCATTCTATCACCCTATTAGAGACCTGAAGGACCAGATACCCTATAGAATCATTCTATCACTCTATTAGAGACCTGAAGGACCAGATACCCTATAGAATCATTCTATCACCCTATTAGAGACCTGAAGGACCAGATACCCTATAGAATCATTCTATCACCCTATTAGAGACCTGAAGGACCAGATACCCTATAGAATCATTCTATCACCCTATTAGAGACCTGAAGGACCAGATACCCTATAGAATCATTCTATCACCCTATTAGAGACCTGAAGGACCAGATACCCTATAGAATCATTCTATCACCCTATTAGAGACCTGAAGGACCAGATACCCTATAGAATCATTCTATCACCCTATTAGAGACCTGAAGGACCAGATACCCTATAGAATCATTCTATCACCCTATTAGAGACCTGAAGGACCAGATACCCTATAGAATCATTCTATCACCCTATTAGAGACCTGAAGGACCAGATACCCTATAGAATCATTCTATCACCCTATTAGAGACCTGAAGGACCAGATACCCTATAGAATCATTCTATCACCCTATTAGAGACCTGAAGGACCAGATACCCTATAGGATCATTCTATCACCCTATTAGAGACCTGAAGGACCAGATACCTTATAGGATCATTCTATCACCCTATTAGAGACCTGAAGGACCAGATACCCTATAGAATCATTCTATCACCCTATTAGAGACCTGAAGGACCAGATACCCTATAGAATCATTCTATCACCCTATTAGAGACCTGAAGGACCAGATACCCTATAGAATCATTCTATCACCCTATTAGAGACCTGAAGGACCAGATACCCTATAGAATCATTCTATCACCCTATTAGAGACCTGAAGTACCAGATACCCTATAGAATCATTCTATCACCCTATTAGAGACCTGAAGGACCTGATACCCTATAGAATCATTCTATCACCCTATTAGAGACCTGAAGGACCAGATACCCTATAGAATCATTCTATCACCCTATTAGAGACCTGAAGGACCAGATGCCCTATAGAATCATTCTATCACCCTATTAGAGACCTGAAGGACCAGATACCCTAGAGAATCATTCTATCACCCTATTAGAGACCTGAAGGACCAGATACCCTAGAGAATCATTATATCACCCTATTAGAGACCTGAAGGACCAGATACCCTATAGAATCATTATATCACCCTATTAGAGACCTGAAGGACCAGATACCCTATAGAATCATTCTATCACCCTATTAGAGACCTGAAGGTCCAGATACCCTATAGAATCATTCTATCACCCTATTAGAGACCTGAAGGACCAGATACCCTATAGAATCATTCTATCACCCTATTAGAGACCTGAAGGACCAGATACCCTATAGAATCATTCTATCACCCTATTAGAGACCTGAAGGACCAGATACCCTATAGAATCATTCTATCACCCTATTAGAGACCTGAAGGACCAGATACCCTATAGAATCATTCTATCACCCTATTAGAGACCTGAAGGTCCAGATACCCTATAGAATCATTCTATCACCCTAGTAGAGACCTGAAGGACCAGATACCCAATAGAATCATTCTATCACCCTATTAGAGACCTGAAGGACCAGATACCCTATAGAATCATTCTATCACCCTATTAGAGACCTGAAGGACCAGATACCCTATAGAATCATTCTATCACCCTATTAGAGACCTGAAGGACCAGATACCCTATAGAATCATTCTATCACCCTATTAGAGACCTGAAGGACCAGATACCCTATAGAATCATTCTATCACCACTTTAATTTCAGTAAGAAAATAAGACGATCTGTCAATGGAGTGGGCATTTTTACCCTTATTGTAAGATAATTAGTTATATGCACTTGAAATAAGAGACTCCAGTTGTTTTTCTCTTATTTTAAATCTAAATGATCTTATTCCATTGTCAAAGTGTGTCACCTTTCTCCTCAACTTAAGAAAACATGCACTTATTTTAACAAAAAAATGAGTTATTTAGATTTCCAGGGAAAAATGTAAATCCAGTGAAGAGCATTTTAAATGATCTCTATAGTTAAGTTAAGCAGAGCTATAGACGGGGGGGGTATCAGCTGATACGAGCTTCCGTTGGCCGGTTCATAGGCGTGTTCAGCAGCCATGCACTGAAATCATGTGAAGGAATGCACTGCTGCCTCACTGTTGGCCAACTATTAAGTTTTTTTTTTTTTGTTAATAACTGTTTGCTTTTGATTTTAAACTAACATCTGAGTCATTTTTTATCATTTAAGAGGAAGCAACATCAGCTCTAACAATCAGCCCAAACATATCTGCAGTACATATCAGGGATGGGCGGAAAATAATCAGCCTTAACAAACCTGCACCCATCACTGGCTTAGCTTTGCCCCCCCCCCAACTGCTTTATTGACTTGACACACTCATTTCTAATGTCTAACATCTAAATACGTACAAACCTGACTTTGCTTTTTAATGTCAGAAACATTCTTCTCCCTATAAGGCAAAATGTTTGGTGGCAGCATTTAACCCTTTTTAAAGTCCTATACCCTGTAACTAAAACATTATGTCAGTGTTTAGGATGTTTACATTAAATATCTTCGTGTTTTCTGGGGGAATTATCTGTTTGTAAGTTTAACTCATTTACTTCCATCTAGCAGAGAGCTGAAGTGAGGAAACCGTCTCCTAAAAGTCACTGCTGTTCGACTAGAGTTGGTGCAAAAGTCAGTGGGCCTCAAGGGAGGCACATTGATCTAAAAGCTCTCCTCCTGGTAGGTTCCACTCATGTCTGTGCTGCACAGATTACACCCCTGAATAAATATGGCTTCCCGACCAAAAACCGGCTCCGCTGGTTTGGAAACGTGCTGCTGGGGTCAAACCGACGCTGCACTGCTCGTCGGTAGAAAACCTCAACATGTAGGAGGATCAAACTGCAGGAGCTGGACTCTGAGTCAGACAGAGCCTCCAGATGAGGCAGCATCAGCTGCATCCATTAGTTAATCATAGTGTGTAATAAGCTTCACCGAGGCGCCACAGAGGATCCGTAGCTCAGGAGCAGGCAGGGAAATGACAGAGGAGGGCGACTGCTTCAGAGCTGTGAAATGAGGTAGGGGGGATTGAAAAGTAAGGGAGGTCAGAACATTTGCATCCATAAAATATGATCCAGCGTTACATTACCCCATCCTCCCCGCCACCCGACATGTGTCTTCAGCTCAGCAAACTCTTTGTCTTGCAACTGCTTTTCAGTGCATTCTTAAGCGGGAGATAAATTATTCATGTTATGTACTTTAGGCAGATCTAGCGCTAAACAAAACAGCC